TAATAGATTTCCAATCATCACATCTGAAGGTTACTAACTACAAATTTATTCTTTAAGGTTTGGGTTAGCATTGGCAAGCTATTAAATTTTTCCTCACAATCCTAATTTATACTTCAGAAAATAAATTCAAATGTCTTGATTCCTGAGGTTGAGTACAACCTATAACAACTGTTCTCAGATTGTTTATAACAGGTGAGGTTAAGGAGATGACTGTAAGTTCTTACACAGGTTGTTTACAGGGACGGTGGTGGGGAGGAAGGATGACCCAGGTTGGAATAGAAAGGACTGCTAGGTTCTATACAGATTCTCATCACGAGGAGAGAATCTCTCATGCAAACATGTAGTCCTACTAGCGTCACCGTCCAATAAATCATTGCCAAGTGTTCAAACATATGCACTACCCTAGACGATTGACACATGGTATATTGGTTACATGAGAGAACCACTCCATCATGAGACCTAAATACATCCGAGAGTAGATGTGTTTTCTTACTAAAAGAATGGAACGTTGCTAAAAAGGGTAGCCACCTTTCACAACGCAGCCTTGGACAAGATTGCTACATTATTGATTTTGGAAGGAACTTTCTACATGGGAAAAGTTAATTCAACTTCACAAGAGCTGAGGCAACATAACAAGGCTAAATTACAAAAAAAAAAAAAAAACAAAACCCTCCTTTTACTTCCATATTTTGACTTTATACCAAAACAAAACCAAAAATGGTTTAACAATAACAGTGGAATACATTTCTTAAAGCGAAACGCAACTCTCCAATCTTCTTTTCCACCATTTTAATACTCTTATACAAACCTTGACACCGGTCCAGAACCAAAAGTACAACTAAAGCTTTATTTAATTAACATGTATATAATTAAAAATAATAGTTCAAAAACTAGTACTTTCAGGCAGCATTTTACAAACCAAGAACAAAAAAAAAAAAAAAAAAATTTTGTCTTCTGTTGCTAATAAAATAGAAGTAAAATTAAAGATTGTGCTCCAAAATCCCAATGAAAATTCAGACATTGATGCTCAAACTCAAAGAAAATTAAATAAAATTTCAAATGCAGGGGTAAAACAGGAATCAAATTTAAATAGAAAAACAAAGAGGAGGGACCTGGTGTTCATCATCGCTGTCGTGAGATCGAGATTTGGTTCCGAGTCCCAAACAAGAATACGATTTGAACAGTCTGCGGCATTTGGATTTGGATCGACACCTCCGGCTCCGGCCATTTCCACCAATCGACGACGTCGAGGAAGATAATACCGCCGACGACGACGACGTCGCTTTGCTGCCACTCGATCCCATCTTCTTCCCTCCGTCCGGCCAGGCGGGTCCACTAGTCCAATGCCCTTAAGACTTGACCCTCCAAATGTGATTCAAATTACATCATGAACCACGCATTTGAGATCTGGAATCATGGAGCGGGGGAAGCTGCGGGGAGGAGAAGATTGGGTTTTCAATAACATTTTCACCTTTTTATCTATATAACAAAAAGCGATAAATTTAGAGAGAGAGAGAGAAGAAGAAGTTATACTTTCTTGCAGGGGAGGGGAGAGAGAGAGAGAGAGAGAGAGAGAGAGAGAGAGAGATGGCAGATGTGGAAATGGAGGTTTCTGGCTTTTTTTTGGCGTGAGTGACTGACGACTGACTCGTCTTTTTGAGAGGACGACATGAAAGCAGAGAGAGTGGCGTTCCCTCTGCCTCTTTTTGCGGGATTCAAAATTGGTTTTCACCCCTTCTTCGTCCTTGGGCCTTGGGCCTTGGGTCGAGCCCGACTTCTTTTTATTATATTTTGCACAACTCAAAAACCGTCCATCTAAAACTCAAACGTGAAAATCAAGAAATAGAAGGAACAAAAGACACGTGCACCAATTTGATCTCCTAAAATTTATAGTCCTTCTTATGTTCATGACGAGACAAGTGCCAACATCACATTAAACTTCAATCCCACATTGACCAACTCAACAAAGTTGGGCTAAAGTAAATGAGCATGATCAAAGGTGTTGGAGCTAAAAATTACACTTCCATTATACAAGCAACTAGCATGCTAAACATGGGGAGTGGGGCTTAAGTAAATGAGCATGATCAAATACATCCACGAATGTGGAACATGGAGAAATATAAGGAAAGCGGGACTTTGAGCCCAAAGCTTGAATGCCTACAAAAGGCCAACAACTCCACCAGCATGGAGGAGGGAGGAGGGAGGAGGAAAGTATCAGATCGTTTTACAATGTACTACAGCCATTTTGAATAAAGACTGACTTGAGGTCGGAATGTTTTCTTACAGGTCCCCCTCCTCCCTTATTGATGGTGAGCGAAGATAATGTCTAAAGCTTCTCAACATGGTTATAAGGTTTACTTGTTAGAGGATTGGAGGAACCGAATTTTTTCACTCTAACCTAGGATACCAAATTTTGAAATCAAATTTGCAAACCAAGTGATGTGTCACAAATAGGAAATAAACACATTAATCAACACTTAGGTAATAGTTCAATCATCAACATCCACATAATTTGATTCACAAAATTTGGTTTAGAAATTTGGTATCCTTGACATTACCCTTTATAAAAGGAACTGAAAACTCATTCTTACAGGGGGTAATGCTGGGGGACCAAAATTTTCAAACTAAATATGCAAACCATATGATGTCCAATTAATTAAGTGTCAGTTAACATACTTATCTCTAATTAGTGACACATCATTTGGTTTGCAAATTTGGTCGCTCTAGCATTATCTTTTTACAGGTAATCATTCATTCTCAAACACCACCATATTACCACTAAACACTGCTCATGCCCATGTGACACCCTACGCAAACTTTGCTAATGCTGATGCTAAAAACTGTTATGGTTATCAAAGGATTATGATGGTCAAATACTGTTACATGATCGTTGTAAACGAGAAATTTAACACTAAGAGCAGTTCCACCCCTAACACAAATACGCCAGCACCCAGCGCATTTATCCACTCAGTGAACAGTGATAAACCCTAATGAACAGTAATATGCCAAATACATCTTCACCCCTAACAAAAAATAGCCTAGTCAATTTTATTAAAATATTATTATTTTTTATTATAAAATTGCAAAGCACACCATCCCAAAAAAGTGGAAGTTCCCCTTCTCGATCCCAGGAAAATTTCTTTGTAATTTTGTTGCATTTCTTTCATCCATCTCTTTTTGTTCCTTTGCTGCATCCTTACCTCCTCAGCTTTTGTAAATGGAGTTGGAGCAACACAATCCTATCACAAGCTGAAATTTGAAAAAAAAATAAAAATAAAAACCCAATTCAGATTTTCCAATTTGCCAATCAGGTGTTAAACTTTGAAAGAAATGATGTGGATGATGGGATTGAGCATTCAGAGCTTATTGGATTTGGCGGTGGCCAGAGTTTCAACGATGGTTGGTTTGGGGATCTTTACGTTTATTGCTTCTATTCTTTGCTCTGCCACTTTCTTCCACACTGCCAAGGACGTTTCTTCTTAATCCACCCCTCATGCCGTCGGGCAATCCACTCCCGGTGTTCGAGTCCTCCTGTTGGAGGTTGAAGGTTGTGGGAAGAGCTAGCGTCAAAATGGCGTTATACGGGCCAGTCCCAAGGTCTATCAATTTTGGGCTGGCATGGAAACCAGCCTGGGCTAGGTGTCGGGCCATTTTTTTGGTTGTGTGCCGGCCTATCCCACCCCCAGTGGAACTGCTCTAAAAGATTACGTGATTCGCCTAAAAATGGGGGATAGGTCGACTGAGAAGCTATAAATAGTTACAAAGTATCAAATGGAGAGGGGTCGGGGGACCTTAATAGATGTTAATAGCCAATGAAATATTAGGTCTCTCTTTATGTAAAACACAAACTTTCTCATAGAGTCTCTTGCTCTTCTATATGCCGGCAAGCGCCTTCTTTGGGCCATAATTTATTTGCCGTGTTTTTAAAGATTGAAAAAAACAAGATAGAGAACCATCTTTAAAGAATAAACAATGCTAGAAACTAAAATGGTGTGACCAAAGAAGAATTTGGTATTCTTAGTACTATGGGCTAGTGATATTCATCTTCACTAGTAAGTAAAAGGTATTAGGTTTGATTATTGCCAAAAACGAATTTGAACCACATTATTGGTAGCCCATTGTAAAGCTAAGCCTCGTTTGTTAAAAAAATAAAATAAAATAAGTGGGGTGGCCTTATCCACAACTCGAAAAAGCTTTAGCATATCCCGTCCAAATAACCACAAGACCCGCAGAAAGCAAATCCCACATATTCGGGCAACAAATTCGTAGGACTTCTGAACTGATTTTAGAAAACTAAGCAGTATTGATGATGGTGATGATGATGATGGTAAAATAGACATACTCAGCCGTCAAACACTCCCAATTAATCACATCAAAAGCCATATGGCTCACAAAAAATTAAGGTCCAATGATTGTGCGACACGACAGTGCCATGGTTAAAAAACATGTTTAAAGTGTAAAAGAACTAAAAACTTATGAATTTTAACCACAAATTGATGACCCAGTGGTAATGGCAGATTACGAGGCTTCCTTAAAATTAAAAACTAGAGGTCTTGGGTTCGAAACCAGCTGCTGGTGTGGAAGCCAGACTTGTGGATAGGGGAGGCTGAAATTCCTCTATGAATCTTTCATTCCCTTGGAAAAGATGGATAACCGTAATTTACCACCAGTTGTCTTCTTTTTTAAGAAAAAAACCTTAGAGCAGCAAATTGATCAAAAAAACAAGAACTTTTATTTGCGACAAGGATTCGGATTCTTTTATTTGAACTCAAATATTATCTCAACTTAAAAGTTTGCCTCTTAAACTTCCTATTTTACCCTAAAATGTAACTTTAAGAAACAGACAAAGAAGCTCCACTGAGCACGATGGCAACAACCGCCGTCGACCTTCTATCCTCACTCGTTGTTGTTCAGTTTTTCTAAGCAACCTCCATAGGACTGGATCTTGTTCCGATTTATTTTCTTTTGTTCAATGAACTAATAATTAAGCTCGCTAATTGTTATCTAAAATTGCCTTTTTCTATTAGGGTTCATGGTTACAACGAGAGACCAAAGTTGAGAGAGAAAGAGTTGTGACCTGCTACTCGACCGTGGCCGACAAGGAGGAGGTGGAGGCTAAATTCTAAGACCAGCATTCCATTCAATGGAAACAATCAATTCATGCTCATACACTACAATTAACTACCAATTTATGCTCATACACCAAAATCGAACGACGACCAGCAGCAGCCATGGAAAATTGGAAAGCCAAGGAGGTGCACGAAAATCAGGAGCAGCCATGGAAATTCCTTCTGCAATTAACAACAGCAGCCAGTTCAAAATTAATTCAATCCTTTCCTGTCCACGGAATTCAATCCTACCCTTAATATCAACTAAATTTAATCTGGTATTAATAACAAAAACCCCCATAAACCAATTTAATCTGCCCAAAAACCCATCGAATTGATGCCAAATTCATCAAAACCCACCAAAACCCAATACCCGAATCCTAAAAACAACTACAATTTCAAATCTTGGATTCAATTTGAGGAGAGGATGACGCTGGACTTAGCTTCCGTCGGTGAAGGAGACGGCGGCGTCAATTAAATGTGAGATCTCCACTTGTGACTGCGAGGGTGAGATGCAGTCATGCAGAGCAGAGAGTTAAGAGTTAGAGAGAGACGAGAGAGTGAGAAGCGAGAGGAACACGAGGGATTTCCCAAAATTTCTCAAGTTTACCCGTGAATTATATGGGTTTTTGTGAGATCTCCACTTGTGACTGCGAGGGTGAGATGCAGTCATGCAGAGCAGAGAGTTAAGAGTTAGAGAGAGACGAGAGACTGAGACGAGAGAGGAACAAGAGGGATTTCCCAAAATTTCTCAAGTTTACCCGTGAATTATATGGGTTTTTACTTTTTAGGACCCGGAATTCAGTTTTATTGTGACACGAAGCTTGCTTTGATTGAATTGTTTTCAGCCGTTGAAATCAGATCCAACGGTCCGAATTTGCTCGGCAAGCAAGGTCCGGAAAAGGTCGTCCGCACTCAGAAATGGCGGTAGGTGAGAGACCCTACTTTTTTTGGAGAAACTGGAAAGGTTCGTAACCAAGGCCGGAGCCAAAAACACAGGGAGGCCTACCAGAAGGCAGCAACCAAGGAAACAAACATAAAGCAGAGAAGAGGGGAACAAAGGCTAAAGACGCTGCAGAGAAGAGGTGACAGACCCTACTTTTGGCGGCTGGCCTTGAACGATTTTCAAGCCCAAAATTAAAAGAAATGACCTTGCTTACGGTCCCGCAAAAGTTACACTCATAAGTCGTATTTCATTGAATTGCCCTATAAATTGTCTTCTGATACTGAATCAAAGGTGGAAGAACGTGGATACAATCGAGATTTAATGACCAATTACATAAACAATGAGGGAAGACACACCCGGCACACAAGCTTCTGTGCCGTGGTGGCCTTGCCGTTATTTTCGTACTACTTGATCAATGACAATTTTCTTTTCTTTCATATTCGACATAATTAACTTGACCTATAAATCTAGCTAGTAAAAATGAATATATATATATGTGTCTCACAAATTGATAAATCTATTTCCTACGTTTGATATACCTTTCTCGACATTTTGGCGAAATTACTGTGTTGTTGGTGATTTGGATCAAAGTTACGGTTATGGCAAGTGGGATTGCAAGGGTAAGGACAATCAATCTTTTGAAAGGGAGTTCGGTCATAGAACCAGTCTCCAACTGCCTTTGCAATCGTCTGCAGATGAAAATACAGTTTTAACAACAAATTTGAATTAATGTATAGCAGTAAGTCGTGGAAGATGCATGAATGAAAGCTGTGTTTGATGTTTACCGTCTTGTTCAGTACCGGAGAGTCGGGCATTAACCATGTCTCCTGCAGTTCAGTTTGGCAGTGTGCATAGCAAGAGTCTATGAACATTCCTTTTGATCGAGAGCCGCTCACACCACCAATTGCACTTAAAAACTGCGCCCTGAAATCTGAAAACGAGACAAAGTATTCAACCAGGATCAACTAATTTCTGTTTCGGCTTGAAAACTTCTGAAGGCCGGATGGCCTAGCTATTGGCCTGTCCGTCGATACTGGCTTAGTTTTCTGGCGTTTATAATTACGTACCTTGCATGGTTTTGAGTTGAGTGGGTTTACAATGTGTTATGTCAAGCTTGCAGTTCTGCCAAGTCCCATGGGGATCGGCAACTCCAGGTGCCAATATGTTCTTTATCTGGATGGACACAATCAGATCAAGTAATAAGAGGAAATCTAAAGGAAAAATAGACGATGAACTGAAATATAAAGGAAGCAACTTAGCAGAGTTCGTAAAAGAAAGAATAAGCTAACCTGCCATGAATCGTAGGCTGCATTTACATAGAACATTGGCGTCCGGATTTGTGAGGCAAAATATTGCGGGAAAAAGCACTAGATTATTGTTTCAAAAGTATCATTAGAATTTACAAATGAAAAGGATATAGTTGCAATTGAAAATCTTTACAAATATCAAATACTTACCAAACCTGGACTCAATTTTGAAGTGCAAGATGGAGGCAAATTCTTCGCCGAACCCTACACAAAGATTGACAATGAGAAGCAACGTGGATTAATATTTGAATCACATTAGGAAGGGCTGACAAATAAGGGAAACTCTCTTTTCGCGTCTTCTATAGAGAGAAGGAGAAAGGGAATACATGTGTTGCAACCACTTGACTAAAAAACTGTTCAACGTGTCGTGCTCCAGAAACATCCTTCCTGCAATTCATTACCAGGTGGATAAGCGACTCTCGTGTAGTTTGGGAATCAGAATACAAGGTACTAAGCGTGAGCTTACGCATTAATGAAGTAACCAGCGTCTGAAACACATTTCACTTTAGCTCCAACAGGTAAGAGGGCATGGAAGTTGTCACAGTGAAGAATGGACGCCAATCCACCAGCAGAACAACCAGAGAGCATAGCCTGCAGTAAAATGTGCTAGCAAGTCATCAGAGCTGATGACAACAGAGCTGAAATGGTTGACAGTTAAGGGGTCATACATTTTTAGCCTTCCCCATTCCTTTTGCTAATAGATCTTCAATGACGGCACGAAAAATCCTTGCTCCTCTGAAGAAAAGACCGGTGGCCTGCTCAAATTGTTATTTCATTGATAATCCCACAATCAGAAATGAAATGAGAGGCCCAGATTCAGGACAAATGGTGTCTGCAAACTCGGACTGCTACTTGGAAGGTAACTTACTAGGTTTACAGCTGCAACATCACCAGTGAATGATGCCCCGTCGCAATACCTAACTTTGACTCTATTCCAGTTGTAAAAGTCTGGCATGGAATATGGACTTTTAGTTCTACTGGTAAAAAGCAAGGAACTCAACAGACAAAAGAAGAATGAAAGCTATATCGATCAACCACACTACTAAGCTTTTCATCGTAAAAAAAAGAAAATTGTTTAAACAATGGCAAGAAGTACTAAATCTTGATTAGCGAAAATAGATATCAAACCCGGATTAAACATATGCCTGCCGTTCAGAATCCCTGAAAATGCAATCTCCTTGAGCATTTTCTTAGATGAACCTAAACGGTTGTTTTTACGGACAAGACAAGTTGTGATATTGTTACACCATCCTCCTCCCTAAGAACAAAACATAAGGAAGAAGAATTACGGCATCAGAAATTCACAAACTATCAAATACACAGATTTCATGAAAACTGTCGATATACCTTCTTCTTTTTGTTCCTCTTATCTTGTGAAAGAAACTGTACTGGGAGCTGAGAGAAAAGGACAAACCTCAATGTCAACCAACCAATTGTTAATTCCTGAACCATATCCCTTATCAAGGTGGTAAGCTGGGGGACTCCCATCCAAGCAAACTGCACAACATGTCAAATTCCAAATCCTAAATCAAATATTTGTTATGAAAATGAAACTCGAAAAAAAGGAAATTACTCTTATCAGCATATTTGCACAAGAGTTTCTCACCGGCTCCTTTGGCAACCGCACTATGAACGTAAGTTATTCCCACAGGTAATCCGGCTGCTTTCAGCAGCATGACTGCACATACTAGAACAAACAACCATTGGCCTAATCTTGCACCAGCCATCTGCCTATACGAAGTAAAGAAATCAATATACCAAAAACAAAACCGAAGGAAAAAAGGAAACACCTACGACAACAGAGAAATTCATTTAGAGGCATAACCAATTGACAAAATCAATCAAGAATCTACATCTACTGGGACAATCATCGATGTATCGTGTCTACAACATGCATGCATACATACATACATACGTAGGTAAAAGGAAGGGAATCTAGTTTGCAGGTTTTCCACCATAACAAAAAATAAAAAAATCCCAGAATATCTAACTAGAACCGATCCTCCTCGAATGATCCAAACCAGTTTAATTCTCAGCTTTCGTATTGCTTAATGGTCAAGGATAAGCATTAGCAACAAAGAGCTTTTTCCAACTTTTGCAAGGTATCAAGATTTCAAGGCCATAAAGTTGGTTCTTTTCAAAATTAGGCAGCTCCTTTTACATCAAGCCAACATTATACACTAAGAAAAGGTAAAGTTACCAAAATAATAATAAATTATATTAAAGAAAAATAATAAAAACAGACTTATCAATCATATTCTATATGCAAACATTTCTAAATCTAAATGCTAACAAAATCATTCAGAAATCTATTGGCTGCCATAAACAAATGGATTTTTCTCAGAAAAAAACAGAAACCCAAATGGAAGCATTGCAATCCAATCTAACCCAACAAAAAAAAAAAAAAACCCCCATCTTTGATATTACTTCAAAGTACCCAACTCACCCTTGGCCTTGGTTCAGTGGAAAATCCCAGTTCAACTTCAACCACACAAAGAAATATACATATATTTTAATATACACACAGAAGAATTATTAATAGCTCACTTAAACACTCTCTTAAAAAGGAGAGTGCTAACTGAAAAAATAAAGACGGCAATGCCAATGTGCTGACTGACATTAATGAATATATATACACACACAGAGACATATATAAATATATAATGTGGGTTGTTGATGTTGTTAAGCATACAAACAAGGAAAAAGTGGATCCAAATTTATGAAAAAAAAAAAAATGTTGTTTACAACAGAAACAAAATAGCTTATTATTATGGCAAAACCAGAAACGGCATAATGTACCTGAAATGAAATAAAGAAAGAAAACCTCCCAGTTGATCAGTTTCAGTAAATGGATGTCGAAACTCGAAAGTCGCAACGAAAGATCGAAATTGATGGGTTGGAGGAGTGATGCAATGGTAGCCAAAGGAAAAGGATGGAGAGAGTGATGAGAGTTCGTTTGCAAAGTTTTTGTATATATATGCACACAGAGAGAGAGTTTTTCTATTGAGTTTTTGGAGCAGCGAACCCGAGAGCCGACACTTATTTTCGTTCCCTCCCAACCATTCCCCAAAGAAAAGGGTTAATGATTGGATGTGGACTCGGGTTTGGGCCTTTCCTCATCGAGTATGACCCGACCCAGATGACAAGGAAAGCCTCCACTGGCGACTGCTTACATCTGCTGCCGCAACGAACCTTATCGTATTACGCTGTGTTTTATTTGAGGCAGATATAGTGTATATAGGGCGGAGGATCCTCTACCTGTTTCTTATGAGAAGAACCCTCTACTTGTTTCTTAGTGAATGACAAGAAAATGGAAGTTTAGGGCGGTTGGTGAGGTTATAATCTTCGTTCGAAAGAAAACGAAAAGACAGGACAACAACTTCCACTAAAGAAGAGATTTGTCAACGCGTCTTGAATATAAAATAATACATCACATATCATTATACAAGTGGAGGGTCACTTAAAAAATAAAACTTTCATCTGCTTATATAATTACATATGGTGTACTATCCGTATGCCTGCATATTGAGCCAGACTGCCAGGCATATAAAGCTTTCATGAGGCAAAACATTAATTCAAACCTGTAAATCGGCTTTTTTACGCTTTTTTTTCTTTTTGAGTACCTAATTCATCATATTTGGTGACTTTTTAAGGAAGCAATTATAGTTAGGCTTTTTCCTAAATTAAAAGAAAAATTTAAGATCGCCACTACAACCATTGATACAGTGTTTCAAATCCTACATGCACTGATAGAAGATAACATTCTATCCATTAGGATATTAAACCACATGTCAAATAATCAAGTTTCTTGAGCACACTAACTATTATCAATTGTCGTTGTAGTTTGAGTTTACTTTTGTAACACATTATCAACATTACATTACGTGTTAATCGCACATTTTTTTTCTCCTTGAGTTGGATTCTGGCATGACCAAGATTCGTAGCAACATTCTCAATCTTAATTCTACATGGTGTGGGTGTTGCGAGTTATATATTAATTAAAGTGTAAATAGTAGTATGTTGTCTCACATTGATGAAGTGCATATGTAAAACCAATTGTAACTCCTATATATACTCTACTTTGGAGATTAATGTATATATAAGAAATTCCCAAATATTGTCATATATATTTTTGGTATTTACCATGTTTAGTTTAATATGGCACCAAAGCAGTTCGCTCTTGATGACTTGTGTGCTTTAATTTTGTGTCCCACCTTTGTCGTAATTTCCTTCGTTGGAAAAAATAAAAAAATAAAAAAAAGGAAGAAAGTGAATAGTGCCGCACTACAGTACAACCCTTGCTACAGTGTCATGAACGGTGGTCTACTACAGTGTTCGTACAGTAATCTGCTATAGTGCCGTAAAACAATTATCTGCTACAGTATTGTGAACAATGATCTGATATAGTGTTCTGATAAATTGTTTTCATTCCATTGTGTATCTTTTGTGCATTTATTGTTCATGATTTAGTTCAATGGCTCAGTATAATCATAGTGTTGTTATACATCTTGGTGGAATAAATAATTGGATAATTGATATTGGGGCCACTGATCATGTGACTAGTGACCCTAGAGTGTTTGATGAGTTATGTGACTATGTTTGTGATCTGTATATTACTAGTGCAAATGGAACACCTTCCCCTGTGAAGGGTGAAGGCACTATCTCTCTTACTCTGACCTTATCACTAGTCCATGCTTTACTTGTTCCTGATGTTAAGTGCAATCTTTTGTCGGTAGGAAAACTACTTGATACCTTATATTGTTATGCTCACTTCTACCCTACGTATTGTTATTTTCAAGACATTCAAACTCAGAAAATAATTGGTCGTGGTAAAAGAATAGGAGGTTGGTACATCTTAACTATGGAGGATATTGTTGTTTCGGGTTCAAATAATCATCAAGTTTTAAGTGCTAAAGTGGATGACAAACATCAAATTTGGTTGTGACATCGACGATTAATACATCCATCATTCAGTTATATGAAGCATCTATTTCCTTTTTTGTTTCACACTTTTAGTGATTCAGAGTTCAAGTGTGAAACATATGTCATGGCTAAGAGTCATCGTGCTTCTTTTCCCATAAGTGATTCTAAAGATACTTTGCCATTTGATTTAATACATTCTGATGTGTGGGGTCCGGCGAAGGTTACTTCTAATGGATTCCATTGGTTTATTACTTTTATTGATGATTGTACTCGATTAACTTGTGTGTTCTTGATAAAGAATAAGAGTGATGTTCCTTTGCTTCTTCAAGAATTTTGTGCAATGGTGTCTACTCAATTTTAGACCAAAGTTAAAGTCCTTAGGTCTGATAACGGAAGAGAATCTATGAATCACACTTTGGCATGTTTTTTTCATGATCAGGGTATTATTCACCAGACGACTACTCCGTTTACACCCCAACAAAATAGTGTGTCCGAACGGAAGAATCGTCAAATAATGGAGGTTGTTTGCTCCTTGATGTTAGATAAATGTGCTCCTAATCATTTGTGGGGTCATGCTGTTTTGGCTGCTGTGTATTTGATAAATCGTGTTCCAAGTAAGGTTCTTGATTTTCAGACACCTCTTGATGTGCTACAAAAATATGTTTCTCTTGTTTCTGTATCAAAACTTCGTCCGAAGGTGTTTGGGTGTATTGCGTATATGCATTTCTACTCTTATCAGCGGAGTAAACTTGATGCATATGCTCTTCGATGTGTATTTATTGGGTATGCTAACAATCAGAACGGCTATAAGTGTTATCATCCTCTGACTCAGAAAACTTATATTACCATGGATGTCACCTTCCACGATGAAGTTTCATATTTTGTGAAGCCCTCTTCCGACTCTCCACTTCAAGGGGAGAGAGGGAGTAAAGTGCAAATTTGAAGATATGGTACGGATGATGTGTTACAAGCAGAGTTGGGGATAGAACTTATTATGTTGTGTGATACTGATCAGTCGGCTATAGATAGTGATCGGTCACCTGTCATTCCCAAAATTATTTCTACTGACGACAGATCAAATGTGCCCAACTAGTTGCATGTTAGTATGTCTAATGAATTACCTATTGATGACCGGTTGCATGCTTCTGGTATGTCTAACGAGTTGCCTAATGATGGTTCGTCCAGTGATGGTTCTTCTAACACTTTGGTACAAGATAGTGACATACATGAGGTAAATTCTAATGATTCTTCTACTTATCGGTTGCCTCCACGAGCTAATCATGGAAAACCTAAAGTACAATATAAGCCTGATATACATGCCAAAGCCAAATAGCCCATGAACAATTATGTGTCTACTCATCGTTTGTCCCAACTATATGCATCTTATATATGTCAGCTATCTAATGTATCAATCCCAACAAAATTACACGATGCTTTGTCTAACCCTAAGTGGGTTAATGCCATGAGAGTTGAGATGGAAGCCTTAGAAAAGAATTCTACTTGGGATTTGGTTCCTTTACCAAACGGGAAGAAAGTTATAGGATGTAGATGGGTGTTCACTATTAAGCACAAAGCAGATGGTTCTATTGACCGGTATAAAGTCATATTAGTTGCTAAGGGTTATACATGGACTATCATGAGACTTTTGCTCTTGTTGCCAAACTTAATATTGTGCGTGTTCTTCTGTCCTTATCAGCAAACCAAGATTGGCCTTTGTTGCAGTTTGATGTTAAGAATGATTTCCTTCATGATGATCTCAATGAGGAAGTTTATATGGATCTTTCACCTGGTATCGGACCATCTCCTGGAAAATGTGTTGCATGCAGGTTGTGAAAGGCTTTGTATGGTTTGAAACAATCTCCTAGAGCGTGATTTGGGAGGTTTACAAGTTCAATGAAGAAGTTTGGGTATGTCCAGAGTCATTCAAATCATACTTTGTTTCTAAAGCGACAAAATGGTAAGCTAAATGCATTGATTATTTATGTTGATGACATGATAGTAACTGGTGATGATCAAAAGAAGATACAACGCCTTCAAAAGTACCTAGCTACTGAATTTGAGATGAAAGAATTGGGTGAATTGAAGTATTTTCTTGGAATCAAGGTTACATGATCCAAGCATGGTATTTTTCTGTCAGAACGGAAGTATGTTCTTAATTTGTTAGCTGAAACAGGTATGTTAGATTGCAAACCTATTGATACTCCGATTAAG